CGCCATCTGTGAATTTGTTTGCTTTGTGTTTGTTTGTTTGTTTGTTTCTTGTTTCAGCCGCTGACATTTTTGACGGACAACTCGACGCGGCGTCGGTGGCATGTCCACATCAACATCCATGTCCATGTCCATGTCCATGGGCTCCAAATGTCCATATCCACACATCCACATATCCACATTCAAGTTCGCAGTCATGACAGCAAATTTGCCAGACTTCTTGACATGTGACTGGCCAAACTCCAGGCCTCAGCCCAAGCGGATCTAATTAGTTACCAGTACTTCGAGGGGGAGTTGATGGCGTCACTGCCTAATAAGTGAGGAAAATCTATAGGGAAATGCCATAATTTAAATGAACAAAAGGGAAACTATTTTCAGGTAACTGGAAATATGGTAATTAGTTTCCTAGAATTGATTAATCTGTGACCAATCTATGGAGTTAGTAGGAATCTAATTTGCAAAGGTAATTAATAGAGATACTCATGTATTACTTGGTTAATATTTCACTTGTTAAATTAGTACTTTTCAAAAATATTAATAATATGTAAGTAATATATTAATTATATATAAATGTTATGTAAAATTATGCTTATTAGATGTCTATTAATTTACAGAATATAAATCATAGCATACTTACTTTCATTGAAGAGGTATAGCAATAGGTTTTATGCTTTTATTTTCATAAAATTTCTTTCTCTGCTTAAATAGTTTTTCACTATTATTCTAAATAGTAGCCTTTTGTCAATTTAGAGATTTTTGAATTGATTTTTATAGATTTGTACATAGACATATACATGTATACATAATATGTATTACATATATCAATTTTGTTAATAAATTAACATATTTAAAACCCATAAACTTCATAAATGTTAATTCGGAAAGCTTTTCTATGATTGTTTCTATTGGTTTAATAAAACTGCTTACTCTATGTAAAATATAAAAAAAAATTAAATATAAAAATATTGATAATTATCTATTTAAAAAATGCGAAAAATTCCTTTTCAAAGCTATCTTTACTTGGGCCAGAGTATATTTTCCCAATTAATTTTCGAAGATATAAGATACAACTCTGCCTAGGTCAAGTGAAATTAATGAAAACCCGCTGTTATAATTATATAATTATTTTCCTAATTTATTTTCAGAAAGCTTGGACTTTCCCTATGTCATCTTCTTAATTATCATTATCATCATTATCTTTGTCATATTTTCGAGCGGATCAAGGTAATTTAAAGTTGATTTTAAGTCAACAAAGGCTTCGATTGTGGGATACACTTGTGACTATGCAATGGATAAATAAATAAAGAGATATATAAAGATATATACAGATATATACCGATATATATCAATGCCTAGGCATCGTAATTGAATGGAACGGTATGGAGAAGTGACATACATATTTTCAAAATCCGGTTTCGAAGGCAATCCAATCCAATCAAATCCCAAAACACAGATACACACTCATACACTCATAAGCATGTGATAAAAAAAGGGAATAAAAATACGGCGCCCTACCAAATGCGCTGGAAAATAAGAAAGAGGTAAAAAAAATAATAATTACAGCTTTACAAAGAAATTCGAAAAATCCGGTTTAATTTTCATAAAATTCCAATAAAAAGAAATCTCAAAACTTATGGGGTGTAAGGGGAGGGAAGCTAGTGGGAACTCAAGTGCAACAGCTGCTGATTGGATTCTCGAGTCCAATCGGAACGGCCAGCAAATTGAGGCCGCTGTTAGCTAACAGTCGATTCCCGTTCTAATTGCACGCGCTCTCTCGCACTCTCTGGGGCTCTCTCTTACATTCTGTAATGTGGCTGCACGCGCTCTCTCATGCTTCAGCGTTAGAGCGAAATGGCCTCTGTTTCCCTCTCAACTGATTGACCTATTTTCCAGTTTGGGTAATGTGTCAATGCGCTTGTATGTGTGCCTGTGAGTGTGTTTTCATGTTTTCTGTATCCAATGTATCTCGCTCTCTCTCCATCTCCATCTCCTTCCATCTAACGCCTATGCTTTGTTTTGGTTTTGCGTTTTGCCTTTTTTTTCCTTGTTTCTTTGGTTCGTTTGTTCGCTTTGCTCGCTCGCTCGTTGGTTTTGTAACTTCGTGGATTGCATTCCCATTCACTTTGTTGTTTTCTTTTCGTAACTGCGTATTTGTTGTTGCTCGATGGTAACGCCCTGTTGACTTACAACGTTGTTGTTGTTGGTAATGCCGCTGCTTTTGGAATTTTCACTAGAGAAATGATTAATTGAATTTGTCCAGATAGTTCATCTTTGCACTTGGCCGCCCCACTCATCTTCATCTTCTTGTTCTTTAACTGTGCTAATGGCGAAATGGTAAAATGAACGAGAAGAGAGTTGGAATTGTTCAGGAAATCTTGGTATTTGTTTCTGAGGAGGAGGTTTTAAATGACACATTTTTCTTATTGCTGAAAATGCATCGAAAAGATGTTTAAAATTACATTGTTAAAACAAACATAGACTTATTTACCTATTATTATATTTTAAAATCATTTATTAAAGTTGTCTTAAAGAATGCATCATTTAAGGCACATAATATATTGAAATAAAAGTAGAAATTTCCTTATATGTATCTATGTACATATGAAGTTAATAATTTTATTCATACTTCTCAAACACTATTAATTTATTCCCTCGCTCCATAGTGATTTTTAAGCATCCCTGGTTAAACTACAATATATTTCTCATAAAAATACATAATATTTTTCAAATGTTGCATACATTATCATTTATTTTCGATTTCTAAATGAAACTGAATTTTAAATTAATAGAAAAAGTGTAATAAAAATTATGCAATTGGAAATTGGGATACTGAGATACTTCAGATATGTTTTATTTTTTTAATAGATTTTAAAAACTATTATAATTGAAATATATGTTCATTTGGCAAAATTTAAGCAATAATTTTTCAGTGTATGTTCGTTCGTTTCCTGCGCGTACAATCAGTAAAGTTTTTCGGCTAGATAAGCCCTGCGGGCATTCTTTATCTGGCAAGGTCTCCAACTGTCCTCCGTTTTTTCGTAACTTTTTACATCATTAAACATTAGGGCTGTCGTTGGAATGGGAAATGCGCAGTGCATTTTAACACAATTGCTCCCAACTCCAACTCCAACTCCCTTTGCCAAATGACGTCTTTAGAAATGCTGGCGGCGTGAAAAATCCCGGAAAATCCACCCCGAAAAATCGAACTGAAAACGCAAAAACTCCAGAACAAAACAACTACGCAAATTGTCGGATATTTCGATGTTTCGATGGATGTGTTTCACAGTTATTGGAGTTGAAGATTGGAAGGCGGAGTGGAAGATGAAGAAGAGCAAGAAGAAGCAGAGCAATCGCTGCCCCCCTTCCAAAGCAATTTGCTGACGTCGCCGGAGAATATATGCCTACAGAGGTCATTCCAAAGGCAACAACAACGCCGCCAGCAGCATACTCAACATAGAAGAGAAGTGAAGAGAAGAGAACACCCGAAAATACCGACAAAAATGTCGAATATCCATCAGCAGCAGCATGGAAATCCACAGTAACAGCAACAACAGAACTCGATGTAAACAAAATCGAATGAATTTCGAAGCATATAACAGCTGTGAGCCGCCGAGAGAGTGAGAGCCAGCCAGCTCCCCCGCACAAACACTAACACGCGTACACGTACAGACACACGCACTCGGGCTCTCTTTAACTGTTAAATTCTGTGACGTTATCGTTGCAGACCAGAAAACCGGCCGGCTCTTTTTGGATCCCCTACACATAACATGGTGCGGCATTTGGGGTGCACTTTATAAACAGGAAGTTGATATACAAATTCTATATTCTTCAATTATATTTTCAACAATTATTGTTATTATTATAAAATTGTGAGGTATGTATTCAAAAATTTTAAACATTGATTATCCCTGGTCCCACAAAATATATTAAATTGCTAATTATTGGAGTAGTTTTTTAAACAGAATTTTCCTTAATAGGCATACTAATAATAAAAACAAGTTCATCTTTAAGCTCTTATGGTACATATGTTATCCCTACAGTACAGCATTTGAATTCATCCTTAACCGAACCTTTTTTGTGTCTCTCTCGTTTGTTTTGAGGCTGAGGTTCGCTACTCAACAGCTGTTTTCGCAACATTGTTGCTGCTCAGCAGCCAACAGCTGTTATCGCTCTGCTCTGTGTCCGTTGTTCGCGCTGTTTTGGCTCTGTTGTTGATAAAATAAACCAGAGCGAAACACACTCACACACACACGAACACTCGCTCGCACGCATACAGTTGCTGAAATTATGATGGGGGCTCTGTTGACAAGTGTTGTTTCTTTTTTTCTTTTCAACTGCGTAGTATATTTTTGCTGCCCTTTATTCGTTTTCATTTTTCTATGCTGCCCAACAGATGATATGGTGGCGATGGCGTCATAGATACCGATAAAGCCAAGGCAATATAGGCTACTACGTTGCAAAGTTGGCATATTATTTATTTTACATATTTGAGTTTTATAAGGTGTTGTACGGTAAATAAATATATATTTAAGTAGAATTAGACCGAGTTTAATAGAAAAATTAGGAGTTCTTATAGAAATCATAAAAATTCAATGCATATTTAATTAAACTTTTAGTTTAACTTTATTTCCCAAAAATAACTTCTTTTTTGAGACCGTAAAACGGATATAAACATTTAATTAAGAAAAAATCTATGTTATTATTTTATTATTATGATTATTATTTGAATAACCATTAATTAAAAGCTGCTGACCATGACTCTCCCTTTTTTTTTGTGTCTATTCATTGCCTTTTCAATAGATTCCATTAATGAAATATTTAATTAATTCAAGAATAAGTACTTATTTCAGCACTACTTCTTGAAATCTATAAATTATATTGCTCATGTATTTACCTATCTTAACTTCAATTAACTCTTTAGATTGAATTTGTTATTTAAATCTTAGCATTGTTTCAGATAAATATATCTTCAATATCTGTATCTACAAAGTAAACAGAATCCCAACTGTCACTTTTCTGTTAATTTTCCCCGATACACAATGTTGGCCATTCGTTTGTTATGCTGTTAACCGTAGAAATTGCAGTTTGCCTCTAACATTTTTATGCTGCTGCCTCTCTTTCTCACTCTCTCTCGCCCTCTCTCCAGCGGCCACACACTAACACACCGAGCTCCCCCTTCCAATTATGTATTCGTATGTTGTTTTGCTTTTCCAAGCAGGTAGATGCTATAGAAACGGACAACAGCGGCGGAGAGAGACAGAGAGAGGCGGGCATGGAGAGAGCCCGCGAGAGAGTGTGTCTGTGTGAGTAACTGTATTTCGCCGCTCGCCTGCTTGGCGCTACGTTCGCTCGCGTCAGTATCTCAGTATCTAAAAGTAAACTCTCGGGAGCAGACCGCCAGCAATAAGCAGCAGCAGCAGCAGCAGCTAATAAAACCGTATAACCGAAAAGCAAAGCCCAGCAGCGCATTCAACAAATAGCAATAGCTATACAGCGAAGGGCTTACCTTTTCGCCAATTCCCGCGGGAAAAAACGCCACGGAGAACTCCTTAATAAGTGAAGAAAAAGAAAAAAGGCAAAACAAATCAGTGCAGCAGCCGCTCCGTTGAGTGTGTGTGTGTGTGCGTGCGTGTCAGTGTGAGAGAAAACTGAGAGAAAAGTGAAACGACGACCGGCAGCGAAAGCCAACGCAAAGCGCAAGCGACAAAGCAAAGTTCTGCCGAAAGTGCATCAAAAACAAAGCAACAACAAAAAAAATCAAAGTAAAGTGTGACCAAATAAACGCAAGTTTAACCCTTAAACAGTGAACTTTAAATCCCCGCTCTCCCGGAAAGTGCAACACCACCTGCAAGCTGACATTAAAAGCGGCCAAAATTGGATTATGCTTGGCCTCAAACGCAACTGCCACGACGACGCCAGCGACGCCGAGCATGTGAAGCTTAAACCGCTGCTCCCATCGCCGCCCCAGTGGCCATCATTATCGTTATCATTGCTATCAACTCAGCCGATTGTGCTCCTGCAGCGCCTGCAGCTGAACCAGCATCTGAACGAGCGTATCACCTTCTCGTTGGAGCAGTATCACAAGAACGTCATCAAGAAACTGGCTGCCATTAGCCTAGGCAAGTTCCAGGTCTTCCGTCTTACCAAAACGTCTGCCAGACTTAAATAAACCCCCAAAAAATATCAGAAAACTTCAAAAATCAAGTGCAAACAAGTGTAACTACAAGAAAAGTGTAACTAATAAAATTTAAATACTCAAAGTGCAATAGAAAGCAAAAAAAAGGTGTGAGAAAATGTGGCGATCCATTAAGGCCAAGTTCAGGCTTTAAGTTTAAACAAAAAAACACAAAACAGTTGAAAAAAAGAAAGTAATAAGAAAACACTCTAAAAGAGTATAACAAATAATTCAAAACCAATCCCCTAATTGGCAAAATCCCCCCCAAATTAAATAAAAAAATGTCCACCGGTCGCCGTTTAGCCAAACGCTCCATTATCGGCACCAAAGTGTGTGCCCCGGGTCCGGACGGTCTCTGGTATTCAGGTGTCATCGCGGACGTTAAGACACCGCCCTCGTACTCATCGGCCGGGAAACCGATTTTACCGTTATCGCCGCCGCCACCGCCATCGTCGCACACTTTCCTGGCACCCGGCGACGCCCAATTGAACGCCGATACCCGTTATATGGTCCGTTTCGATTTCAAGACCGCCGTCGATTCTGGTCTCTCGTCCACCGCGTCGGGTTCAACATCCTCCACAGATCCTTCGTCGTCGGTCATTGTGGAGGCGCGTCGCGCCGCCGTTGCCAGTGTCCACATCAGTCCAGCTCAGGCCTTGCGCCGCAGCGCCATGATCAAGGAGTTCCGTGAGTCGGATCTCATTGGACCCGGTTTTCGATCCATTTTGGATACGGAACTGCAGCCCGGCCAGCGGGTATATTTCACATATAATGGACGTGAGCAGAGTGGCGATGTTATCCAGCATGATGCCAGCAAGGATGAGGTGATTGTGAAGATTACCACAATTGGAAATGAGGTGAGTCAGTGGGAAGTACCACGGGGAATTTTAAGGGGGTTTATCTGAAGTTTGAGCTTTTATCGGAAGTATTAGGTTTTATTTGATTTATCAGGTTTTATATGATTTATAAGGTTTTATGGGTTAGGATCTAATATGGATTTAAGGGAATTCATTATAATAAGATACAGTTTGCGTTGTCAAAGTTAAGACCTTAATTCTTGCGTTATATTAGATTTTAGTTTTTAAAGTTCATTAAAAACTTCAGTAGCTTATAATTTTTAATCTTATTTTAATATTTCTTTATTTAGTTTTTGAAAATATATTTCTAAGTTTAAGTTTTGTGAAAAATGAGATAGTGTTTGAACAAGTTTGCATATTATTTCAAAGATTGCCTTACAACACCATGCTTAAAATTCTAAGCAATTGTTCTTGATGTTGAACATTAAGGAATCCGTTTACATAGCATTCTTCCTCCTAAAGAACTAATTTATAAGAGAAGTTTATCTTCAAAATACAAAGAACAAACTTCAATTAGTTAAAACACAATTTTAAAAGATATATTTTATATATGAAAAGAGGATGCAGCTAATAAACGGAAAAGTAGCTGCTCTGCCCAAGTTTGTGGCATCATCATCATCATCATCATCGTCTCAGCATAATCATCATCACCATTGGGGCGGCTAAAAAGTGTGTCAAGGTTGACTTTGCCACCAGAGCACACACCCCCTCCTTTCTGTTCCTGCCCCATGGCCGCAGCATACACATGAAAATACATATGTATCTATGCTTCTATGTACTCGCTTATTCGGAGCACATATTTACTCGCACCCCCAGTACAGTACCGCACCAAATAGTACATGTGCATGTGCAATCACGTTCTATGTGCAACTATGCAACGAAAAATAAAAAAAGAAAAAGCACAAAAAATACTCGTCCGAGGGTCGCATTCCGCTTTTTGGCACGTAATTGGGTTACACTATGGCCTTCTTGTGCGAAAACTATGATATATAGAACCCTCTTTTTTGTTGAACACAATTTGTGTCTTCAAGATTGGATATCCTTTAATAAATATTATTAAAGAGGAAAGTCCCCATAAATTATAAAATCATAAATCAAAATAACACCCAAATTGATTCGTAATTCTTTATTATTACAACTAATAACATCTTTCATAACAGCTTGGCATCTGTCTGTTACCTTATAAGATTTTCTAGTTTTTTTCCAACTGTTTTCTTTACGATTTCCTGATTAATTCCACTCAATATACATGATCAAACCTAATCCTCCAGCCACAGCCACAGCCCCTTGGCCATTACGTCACTCGAATCGTTGAACTGTTCGCTAAACAAACACAAAAATGAAAAATAAAAACTCAACAATAACACCAACAACTACAACAACAACACCAACAACAAATTAATAAATAAAAGCAGCGAAAAATAATTCAAGAGTGAAACATCGGTTGGGGCATTTATAGAATCGCCCCGAATCCAAATCCGAACCAAAAAAAAAAAAATAATCTCAATGACGACGACGACGATGATGATGATGATGGTGTCGTAATGAAAATTTGTTTAGAATTCGGGTTTTTGTGAAACAATTCGAAACAAAAAAACAAAGAGTAAAGTAGCCGCAAGATCGTTGTAAAAGAGAGATACTATTGCAATAAATGCGCGACAATTTCAGGGCTAAATGGAGATACATGGCAATTGAAATGGCCTGATATTTCTACGCTTTACAGCTAATTATATAGATTAATTCCCCACCGACATACAGCCGGCTGATAGAAGGAGATGGCAAACAAGATCGGAGATGAACTTTTCGAATTGCGTCATAAGTCAGGCAGGCACAGGCACAGTCACAGGCACAGCTACTCAGAGATGCGGATACATGAATGCCGGCTGAATATAGATGGCAAAGATAGTTAGATACATGAGCGAAACACATGCATCTGAGAGATACATGCTCTCGACTTGCCGGCTGACTGCGCTGCAGGGGGACAGGGACAGGGCCGGGGGCTAGTAGAGCCGGCATCAAGCTGTGCTCCGTCTCCCTCTTTTCCTATCCGCACCTTCGGCTTTCCCAGTTTAGTTTTTTTAGTTTTTCGTTTTTGTTTTTGCGGGTCTCGGGGTTTTTCTCTCTCACTCTCTCTCTTTTCTTTTGTCTCCCCTCTAATAATCTTTTAAAACGCTTGTAATTGTTGCATACGACGAATGCCGAGATACTGCAAGCTAGAGATACAGCTACATCTACAGATACAGGCGCAGCTATGGCTACAGATACGCGCTCTTCAATGCCAAGTCAGCTGCGCGTATCCGTATCTTTTCCGTGTGGCGGCGAGTCGATAAATTTGTCAGTTAGCTGGCTGCCAGATGTGTGGGCTTGTCCCCCCATTGTATGCCCCAAGTGTATCCAGCAGTAACAGAAACAGAGACATAGATACAGATACAGATACGGGATACCCGTACTGTGACCCGATCAAGTTTGATATGTGCCCAAAATGGGAAAAACTGAAAAATGTATCTATCTGATCGTGGCTTGGCTTTACGTTTTACGATCGCGGCAGACCTCAAGTTGGTTTTCAAATTCGAAATCTTTCAGCATAATTAGCTATGGAAACGTACGAGTTACAAGCTTTTGAAATACTATGACCTCATCATGAGCTGACACCAAAAAAATTGAAAATAACTAGAAAAGTGAAGAGCTCAAGTTCGCTGTAAGTCAATCAACAATTGGTTTTTTTGTATTTCTCGTTTCTGTTTTCGCTTATTTTGTAATCACGAAAGGGGGTGGAAATTTGTTACATCTATCAATAGTTGTCCTCGCTGGCATTTGATGGTCACTTGTGTGTGTGTATGAATTTGGGCTCAAAAAAAAAAAAAAACTCAACACAAAAACCGAAAATTTGTTTTTCGGTTCAACTTGAGCAATTGCCTTTGTTTGCCACAAAACTAGTTGGGGAGTGTGTTTTTTCGTTATTTTTTTGTTCGTTTGTTCGTTATTTGTTTGCGTCGGAAACGTGAGGCAATTAATTCTAAGGTTATTTCAAACGAGAAACTTGTTGCACGCATTTCCATCTCCATCTCCATTTTCATTTACATTTCCATGTCGTCCATAGCCAGATCCTCATCCACGTTTACGTTTACATTTACGTCCATTTCCATTCGCATTTCAATTACGATGACGTATAATTGCCAGGCCATGAATCAAGTGTCCAGTCTGTGGAGCCGTATATAATTTGCAAGCTCATTTAGGGCCCAAAGAATGTAGAGGTATAATTTGTTAAGAAGGACCCAAGACGGGTAGCTCATTCCGGTAATCTCTGCCCACTTCCGGTGTAATTTTGTAGCTGCTAGTGCCTCGTTATCTCTCACCTGTGTTTCACCAATGTTTTGCATTTAAAACCGAAATTTAATGACATTGAAATTGGCATTGCCACCGTGGATTCTTTATCGCACGCAGGTTGCTATGGATTTTCTGGGTTACCCATTTTTCTTTAAGCTTTTTACTTTCGCTTATTTTTGGGGTAACAACAAAAAGCAGATACAATAATTAACGTGTTCTTCTGGCCTCTCACTTTTCAGAGCTGCGACCCATTTTTATTTTTTTTTTTGGGGTCTGGTAAAAAGTGCACTTTGGTCATACGTCATCAGCCAGCTGACCGTCAGGTGAATGGCAATGTCAGTTGATTTGTTACTTTGCTTTTGAACTAAAATACAGCAGAAAAAAGAAGTGAAAATTGTAAAGAAAATTTAGGGATATATAAGAGAGTATGTTTTAATAGATAAAAGTAAGGAACCAGTCTTCTAATAACCGTATAAATAAGTAACAAATCACTTACCTTATGTACAATTGTATCTTTAGCACCGAATTTTATACAGAAATCTTTAAAAACAAACTAAATGTCTAGCATACTCAACTTAATTTGATTCAAAATGTTATCAGTTTAATTCATAATCCCCAAACTCCATTAAATCATGAACCTTTAACTTTTCTCAGTGTTGAAGGTTTTCTCCTTGCCTTAAAAAAAAAAAAACACTGTAAACCGTTAATTGGAATTGCCCAAAACTTTCCACACCAAACTCGTATTTTGTGTGTTTTTATAAATCCATTATTTCAACGCACACATTTATCAAGGCTCTGTATCACCTAAGGAATTCCAGCCATATTCCAGGCTCCGTTCTTAGCGGGACATGTCTGTTCCTGCTTCTGTCGCTTCCTCTTTCCTTATCTTTTACTGGAGGACTAAGACTTCCCGCTGTTCGTTCCAGGATTCAATATTGGAATCGGCTAACGACCTGCTCGAGGGTATCCTCTAACCTCTCGCTCTCAACGTAACCCTCTTTCTGCTGCATTGCTATGGTTTTATGATACCGGCAAAAGCATAAATTCCTCTTTTTTGTGTCCTTTTTCCTACGTTATGCCATGTTTTTGTTTATCCTCCTTCTGGGTTTGAAACCGGCTAAAAAAAGTGACTGGCGCAGGTCATTCGGGGTTTTGGGTCTCTCTTCTCGCTCGCCCTCTAATGACTAATCGACCTTGCCGGCAAACTCGTAGATCTCTTTCAGGTAGAAAGTCGCCGGGATTTAATTTTGTTTTTTTTTTTTTTTTTAGCAATTTAATACCGAAACAATGCACTCCAATTGGAGGTCATAAATTTTGGGGTGGGAAAGAGAGTGCACATTAAAAAAAATGATGGGGGGAATGCTCGAAATCGGTCAAGCTGCTTCGTTGACCTTTTTGCAGGTTGAACGAACGACTTGTTCTCGGTGGTTTTGGGTTACAAGTGGTTGTGGGTCTAGCCCCCCCCCAATCTGACTCACAGTTTGAACCAATCCAAAAAAAAGGGAGCTCTATATACACTCACCCACAATAACAACAACAACAACTAATAAAGACAAACATAAAACTGAAGGTGACGAACGCCGAAAAACTACTTTCAAAAAATGCATAAAGCTTGTTTCGGTTTCGTTTGAGTTTTTAAGATATCAAAGCGCCTTTTTGTTGGCTGATTTTTA